GTGTGACGAGCGGTCGTTTTGCTGGTGGATGGTCATGTTCTGTAGTCATCCTCGAAGTCGGGGTAGAGACCGCGGAATTTGATACTGAAGACATTTTGTGTCGTTTAATCCAGTTCAAACTCTTCAGGTAGCAACTGAAAACACTTGCATTCTTGAATGAAGACAGATAAGATAATCTCAATCAAGGCCTGAGATGGTGCGGAGTTGACAGCGCAACGCAGGGTCTCGGTACGCATGCCTTGGATAGTGACAGCCGAGGCCGATTTGCGCTAACCGCTTTTGGGAGGGGGGAGGGGGAGCCCCGCGGGAGGGGGAGGGGTCCGTTTGCTTACCCAGTAGGCATTCCCCCCCTCGGCGCCCGCCTGGCACATACACAGCCATAGGAGGACCGACGACAACGTGGCTGTGCTGTGCTGTCGTGGAAAGACTGAGCCCTGAACCAGGCGGTCCCTGCCTGATTGCGCAACCGCCGGGTCAGTCAGCCAGCAGTATTAATTTAAGCCGGACGCAGACCAAAGATACTACAATGATACGTAGCGCCTTCGGATCTGGGCTGCCCTCCTCCCAATTGAATCTAGAAGCATAGAGACCGACATGGTTGCAGCCATTGACGACATGTCCGGAATAACAGGCCATCCTGAGGCGAGAGTGTGCCGATTGGCGGCCCGGGCGATATGTAGAATACTACTAGGTAGTGAGAGACGATGGGCCTAAGCTTCCGACACCATTCCATCGGCCTTGTCTTCCCCACTTCTCTGTCATCGCCACGTGAATCGCTGGTGCTTGATCCGCGTACCGTGGGACCATTGCAACTCCGGAATACTATGTAGTACTCACTCGGATGTGCCTGAGAAGCTAGCTGTGGCTGACCTGTGGCCGGATGCTGCTTGGGACAACACAGCCCTGAAAGAAAAAATAGATAGAAAAACAGAAACCCGAAGAAGTAACTGAAAGAAAGAATAAGAAGAATAAGAAGCATAATCACAATTTTACTACGATCATGGTAATGAAAGTCATTGCGGAGCATTCGGCTGGGACGATCTCCGCTATGTGGTAATGTGGTAATTTGGTAGGGGCCAGCTCCGGCAGCCGGCAGTGCCCTCTTGACCCGCGCTGTTCAAGTGACGGAAGGCAGAAAATAGGTGCTGTAATGTACTGTACTGTTCATATCACTCCTATTACCTCTCAGACTACCGCCATGCGGCTGAGACGAGTCGGGGTGGCGCCTTTCATCACTAAAAAGAGGTCAAGAAGAGCGACCAATGACGGGGTATGGAAGACTGGGTTTTCCGACGGAGCTCTCCACACCGGAGTCGCAATCAGGCTCCAAGCTGCAGTCTCGGCTGTCCATCGTCTCACTGGTCCATCGGCTCACTTTGATGTTTCTTTCCTGAACATCTGCCGGTACATAGATGTGTAGTAACGACGGCTTTGCATTGACTAGTATTCCAAAGCCTCTCAATCATTCCCTCGCAATGGATATAAAGGGCTGCTCCGCGTCATCGTCTCTCTTACAATAGCCAATTCAAGCATCCATCTCGTGCATCACTTCGTGCTAGGCTGGCGTTTACTCAATCTTCTATCTTCCCAGGATGTTTTATACTTCAAGCTTCCCGAATAGTGAAGTACCCATTCCTGATACCTTTTACTCTCCGTTTGAAGGAGAAATGCCAGACGGTGATGGCTTGACTATTCAACTCATGCAAGGCTTCGACCCCGTGGCTCAGTTCACGACATACATCGATGCGCAACCGAACAACCAACGACATCCTCTGTTCATTCCGACTCCTAGTCCAAGACTCTACTCGCCGGCGAGGCAAGACTTTGGCCGGACCACCCCTGTCATGGCAAGTACGCTGCCATTTATAGACAGCTCGGCCCCCGGTCTGGGTACAGTCCGGCTCCCGCCTTTGGACAGCAGCCCTCACCAACAGCATGAACCCCCCTTTGTACATGTTCCAGGTCAGCAACTGTCGAGCGGGCAGACACTGCCCTCTCGCAGCAGGAACACTCCCCGCACCGGTCTCGCCACGGAGCATCGCGACAGGTACAGTGCCTTACCCCGTCATTCCAAACCTTGCACTTGTCTCCCAGAGCTAACCGAAAAGCAAGGACCGCATCAACGATCGGCATCTTCCAATGCGACTGGAAGGGCTGCGACGCCCGTCCGACTTTCCATCGATCCGCCGATCTATGGCGACACATCAAACATCTCCACTTATCGCCTGGCTCGCATGTGTGCCTGATCGACGGATGCGGTCGGTCTTTCAACCGCAACGATAATCTCACTGAACACGCGCTCCGCGTACACGGCTATCCAAGCATTCGCTAGCGGATATTTTTTTCGTCGAGGGAGTCTTCTTCTTACTGTGAGAATAGGCTCGGATCCAGCTAGGGTGACAGGCTTAGCGTTCAAGCCTATTTCATGTGTGTATTTTTCTTTTCTTTTCTTTTATTCTTTCTTTATTCTGGCTCTCTCTCTCTCTCTTCTCATTCATTTTTTTCTATCTCCCTTTCTTCTCCTTTTTCTCTGTCAAATTTTGGGCTCCGGTATTCGTTCTCTCGATTCGAGGTTGCAGCCTGCTTTTGGGGGGCGGAGGGGGTTCCAAGGTAAATAGGAGTCCAGGTAATTAACGGGACCATCGATCCCCGGAACTTTTAGGTGTTTGCATAAATGGTTGGATATGCGTATATTCTCCCGTTGTTTTCTCGCAGCACCACGTGCAGACAGGTAAGAACTGTAGATGTTAGAAGGAACAAAGTTGGCATGGATGGACAAGAAAGGTTTAGTACTCGGTACCTTGAAAGTGGGGCAGTTGAGCGGAAAGATCGCATAGTTGGTGATGGACACATAACTCAACACACACCCCTGTTGGGGCCACCAGAGGATACAGAAGTGATTGGATGCATTAAAAGAACTGCGATAGTCTAAAGAAATCTACTTCTCTAGCCCATATTGAGCGGCACATGAGGCAATTTTGTCACAAACTGCTAACTTACTTTCTAGTTTGCACTCTAAGTAAAAGCTGAACATATGGGCTCGCGATTAGTACTATGATGTACAACGTGAAAGCGTACACAAATCCCAGTCAAAGACGTTTGTCCAGGACAGCCAAAGCATAAAGAATAGGACGAAAATCCTTATCAAGGGAATTAAATGTACCTCGCGCCACCGAGATCATGTAAAGACGTCCACTCCCAGCATTGAGGGAGACGGACCTGAGCCGATCCGTGGGTCGTAAATGTCGAGGTGCTTTTTTTAAGAACAGGCTACAGCAGGACATTAGATAACGTTACTGTACAGTACATACATTTAGGTAAGGTGGGTAACACGGGTCCATCCGTGCCGCGCCAACGAACCGCCACTATTAGCAGATCCGGCTGCGACGCTAGGATCTATGCATACTCACAGACGGGTTGAGACTGACTGTGTACGAAGTTTTCTAACTGTGATTGAGAGTACACTTTACAGCACGCACGCTAGACGGGAACTTCAAATCTACGTCGTGTTGGGTACAATACATACCATTCCGATGACTCCGGTGAAGACTCAATCGAGGATTTGCAGATGCTGTGTGGAGAAACATTGGATAAGAATGTGATCAACCAAGCAGTAACATTCGATCCTCAACTCACCAGTCTTCACTAGCAATGGACTGCGCATGGTTTGGAGATTGGGATTGAAAGTATGCGATTCATGCGAAATCTGATCGAGGGCTCACAAGGAGTCTCGTATACGAGTGAAGTCATTTCTGGCCGTAACGGACAGACGGCGAGGGCGACCGAGCGAGTCAAGTCTGCTCAACCATTAAATCAAATTCAACACGAAGACTCCTTCGCAGCGAACGCTTGTGATAGTGATCAGACTGCTATTATACAGTCCGGTCGCAGGTGAGTCTGGCATCATGCAGTCTCTCTGTCACCCTTTGACTGACCATGAATGATAGAAGCACAGATACCATCATTTTTCGATGCCCGCACTCCGAATACATAAGCAAATTCCGAAGAAAATGGAATCTCAAGAGACATAATGAGGACATGCACACCTCGCCGAGGCCATACTATAGGTGTCAAAACCGTGGCTGTAAACGTAATTACAAGAGGGAGGATAGGTTGAAAGCTCATATTCGAAAGAGGCACCGGTTTTTTAAAACCCGGAAATGGTCGGTAGTACGATGTACAGTCTTTCTCCAGTTCTACAGACAATGTGAGCGAATCATCAGCATGGATGAGTTTACCTACATCTGGGCTCTGGATCAAGTGAGTCTTTGAGAGTCACGAATACTCAGAAGGCCAAAATATAGAGTCTGTAATGAATTTATACATAGTGTATCAATACTACTAATACTCAGCCTGAGGAAGTGATACTTGATTGGCAATTTACGTCTATAGACTGTAATGCCCCGGGCATCAAGATATGACCCATCAGCCTATAATACCACGCCCCTCTGATCCACTCGAACAAGGTGTCGAGCTTAACCAACAAGCTAGAGTAAGTTACCTAGAAATTCGAACATGGTATCAAATTTTTAGGTACTGAGTACTGCACACAGAGGACACCACAGCTGCATCATGAAACATTTCACAAAACATACAGTCAGAGATCCTATTTCACCGACCGTCAATCTCCTAATATCCAGTCCACTGAGCATTCTACTAGTTATCAAGTCTCGAATTCGGTGTCACTCAATGTTTCCCGGGAATAGCTCCGTACATGATCAGTGCAGGTCCTTATCAGAAATCGGGGCCGGTTGATCTGTAAAGCATTAAGTCAATGGTAAGTGCAAGCCTACTCTCGTCACGGGTAGAGTCTCAGCAAATGGGTCCGATCTGTATTCTGAGGATCGGCGTAAAAGAAGACCACTTCGTGTGAGGCAGGCGACGTGGCTGTCTTGACAATGTATATCGTTGTTGCTTGGATATGCAAGGATACTTGCTTATTTTCTAAACTCTCAGCTCACGCTTTATGCAGATTCTTGCCACATTTTCACGTGCGCAAGCCTCTACACCTAGATCACTGCGTGAGCAGTCAATTAAATCGTGACCCTAAGCTCCGCAGCCTATTAGGTCGCGATATACCCGGCGCCAACTCTACAGAGTGCACCACTTCTCAATTCCCTTCTACTTGTTGATGGGCAAGCAGAGATTTCGGGGATGATGACTTAGCATCTTGACACCGGCCACTTCACCACGACCGCATCAGCCTAGCATTCCAATCAGGTGACTCGTGTTAACAGCCACCACTGTCAATTCTTCCCCACCGCAACATCTTGGGACCAACCTATATCTTATGTAGAATAACATTGCGCTTGAGCCTAACAGCGCGCGACCACCGACACAGATACTGGGCCGAACCGTCAAGAAGCTTCGCAGTTGTACAAAGCAAAGCCAGAGGTATAACTTCGGTACACCGTACAAACAGCATACTACTCAGTATGTGTAACTGTTGGGGTCTTGAGGGAATGCATAGTGCTTATGTAGTTTACTCAGTACATCGCCAATCATCAAAGCACGGATAAATTCTGGGAAGGGTCTGGTCTCGCCACCAAGGGGTGGATCGCCAGGGGACACTAAGCATGCGCGACCCGCCGATCCACTTATCGACAGCCGCAAACTGCGACCGAATTTGCTGCTGAGAAGCTCGAGAACGTCATAGCACAGGGAAAGTGCCTGATAGAGGAAAACTTTTAACCGACCGCAACCATGCAGGGCCGATACGTCATTTCTCATGATCGCATCAGTAGGTTGACCACGGTTCGGGTCTCGGGTTCCGGTCCCATCCTGGACTGTGTTGTGAAAGGAGAGAAACCCTAAGTCGATAACAAGCTTGATGGTCGAAAACATGTCACAGATCGGATTGTGTCAACTCATTGAACTTTATCGCTCTTCTAATTTCGATTGTTCATTGCTTTTCAGGTTGAAAAAGAGATTCGCAGGCTAAAATCTTCCAGAATGCTGAGTAGGAGCTGGTAATGAAAATTCAAGCATGATATCATAAGCATTCCATGTGGGTCTGCCCCTGCTGACCGTCCGAATTCCACAGAACGATTATTCGCCCACTATCAGTCCTCTAGTGCCATAGAGTTCCATCAGAAGCTCGGTCCAACGCTACGGTGTCGCTCATGTGTCTATGACACAATCAACAAAACCGGAAATGTGTCGTGACAACCACAGGCACTTCCTGGCTCACCATGTAAAATTTTCTTCAGCCAAGCGGATTAGATTATCTATCCAGGAAAAAATTACTATGTCAATACAATCTAACGCATCACATGCCATCATTTAGTCAATCTTTCTACTGCCGAGAGTGAAATCGTCTCTGGGCCCGTGGTGTTGTGTTGGTCGGAGACCGAATTGTGGATCGGCACCGCCAAGTGGAGGCCGTCCCGATCCCCCCATCGGGACCAACGGGAATCAACCGGTGGAGGTCGAAGGGGGCGAACTATGACAACATTCCACAGTTCAGCATAGCATGCGCATCAATTGCCCTGAATAGCACGACGCATCGACGTAGCATCATGTACACACACGAGTAGACGAGTAAATAGTTCATCTGTTTTAGGAAAGTCCCACGACCTTTAAAAATTCTTTCTTCCCCGCCTCCCCCTCCTCTGCCCCGCTCGCTCCACGTTCATGGTTCTTTTTCAACCCCGAACTTCCCCCCTTCGATATGAAATTTTGCTACTAGATCTTCCCTCAGTACACCTCTATTCACACAGTACGGTAAAGAACTCATATCATGGCCGACCCCTTAAGCCGGGCCGAATCACAATCACCAAGCAGCAGCTTCTCCGACAAGGAGAAGGGCAGCGACAGTCAGGATAGCGGGGATCGCATCGTACCTCCCTGGCATGGAGGCGCTGAAGATGAGGTTGGCTCGCTGCGATCGAACGGAAAGCGAGAATTGAAGGAAGAAGACTGCTACGATAAGCTGGCCTACTGTTGGCCCCGCTGGAAGAAATGGACGTACCTCGCGGCCATCGCCTGTGTCCAGGTCTCCATGAACTTCAACACTTCCGTCTTTCCTAATGCTGTGAAGCCTCTTTCCAAAGCCTTTGGTATCGGTCAACAGGAGGCCCGAACGGGACAAATGATCTACCTGATCACGTACTCCATTGGGTGTGAACTATGGGCGCCATGGAGTGAGGAATTCGGTCGGTGGCCGATCCTCCAGCTCTCTATGTTTCTTATCAACATTTGGCAGATCCCGGCTGCTTTAGCCCCAAACTGGGGAACGATCTTGGTCGCTCGTGGATTGGTAGGTTCCCATTCGAGTTTCTGAAGCTGGCAGTTCAACGACTAACATGTACATCACTATAGGGCGGAATCTCAACGGCAGGTGGCAGTGTCACTCTTGGTTTGATTGCCGATCTGTACGAGGCGGAAACGCAGCAGTTCCCCCTGGCTTTCATTGTCTTGTCATCCTGCATCGGAACTAGTATTGGTGGAGTCATTGGTGGTCCGATCGAACGCTGTAAGTGATGGTCCTACTCTGGCATTGTAGCGAGGAAAAAATATGTACTGACCGCATCCCATCAGTCCTGGACTGGCAATGGTTCTTTTGGATCCAGCTCATCTTCGGTGCTGTCACCCAAGCTATCATCTTTTTCATGCCCGAGAGCCGATCCACTATCCTCATCGACCGCGAGGCTAAGCGCCGCCGCAAATCCGGCGAAGACCCCAACATCTACGGCCCCAATGAGCTGAAAAAGCCTCGAGTGTCCCTCAAGGAAGCCGGAAAGATCTGGGTGCGCCCATTCTACATGTTCCTGCGGGAGCCGATCGTCCTCTGTCTGTCGCTACTATCCGGATTTTCCGATGCGCTCATCTTCACCTTCCTGGAAGGCTTCAGCATTGTCTACTCGGAAGGCTGGGGCTTCGGGGTGCTGGGCCAGGCGTGGGCGGTCATCCCGATCAACGTCGCCTACGTGATCGCCTACTTCTCGTACTTCCCCTGGTTCTGGCGCGACGAGCACATCCGCAAGACACAGGGCGACGATGCGCTGCCCCCGGAGCGCCGGCTGAAGTGGCTGCTGTACCTGGCGCTGCTGGAGCCGATCGGACTCTTCGGGTTCGCCTGGACCTCGCTGGGCAAGGAGTATGGGGTGCCGTGGATCGTCTCCATGATCTTCTCGGCTATGGTCGGTATCGCCAACTACGCCATCTACCTCTCGTCGGTCGATTACATGGTCGCCGCGTACGGTGTTTACTCCGCCTCCGCTACCGGCGGCAATGCTTTCTGCCGTGACCTGCTGGCCGGTATCGCGGCCATGTACACCACCCCCATGTACACCAACATCGGCGACAAGTTCCACGTCGAGTACGCCACCACCATCCTGGCCTGCCTGTCTTGTCTGGTCGTCATCCCCATCTACGTCTTCTACTGGAAGGGCCCGCAGATCCGCGAGCGCAGCAAGTTCGCCCAGACGCTGGCCGCGGACAACAAGGCGAACCACGGTCATCGCGTGAGCAAGGCCTCCAGTGTGAGTCGCTTGAGCTCGCTATAAACCTACTCGTGTGGTGCATTTTTCATCTGTTGTTCCCATTCCTGCATACATATTTTTTTCAACCATTGTACATACATACCCACGGGGGTGAAAGGAGATAGCTTGGTGCATGTTTAAAACTCTTTGAACTACTCAGTGGTTTCCGGCAGACATAATCCAAGTAGGGGTCACGAGATGAGAAATATATCCGGTACTCCCGTTAGGGCTTACCAAAGGCCCTTGCGTAAGATAGCGAGACTCAAACCTTGTATCCCTTGATTTCCTGTCCATGCTATGGAACGTAATACGGTTTCGCTCGAAGAGGTGCGCTGATCCGGACCGTCCCGTAGGGAACCTTTTAAGTAAAAAACACCCAGTGAGCGCAGCAGCCCAGCGTGTCGCCTTTTTCTGACATTGGATAAGCTGTCCGCCGTGTTCTGCCGTTCTTTGTGGGGGGGGGAGATTAGATCCAAGACAACCTTGGCAGCGGTGGTTGGTCACACGCACTACAAACAGTCGGCATTAGAGAGCCATCACGACATCTGGTTCAAGAACAATAGTATTATAGACTGAAATCGATAAATCGGATATCTGACGCCTCCATATCAACCTGAGAATATTATCGGGGTGGAATAGCCCCCAAAGTCTGCCGAGGTCAAGATCACAAAAACGAAAAGGTCCAGGCCACTCTTCTCTCCGCTTAAATCCGAACTATGCCAACTCAGTTCGGCCGGGTATTGCAATATCGATGCACTCGCAGTCGGTGCTCCAGTAAATTATCATGACGGTTGAACAACCGGCCGCATTGAGGGAAGAGACACACATACGACCCAGCAAGGTGGGTGTGCCGGATGTGCCGCCAGAGGTCGGCCTCTCTGTTGAAGGCCGGGCGGCTGGGACAATCCCTCCAGTCGCACCAGGTGCCGGGTACGTTACTGCTTTTGCTGCTAATCTTATCAGAAAAAGGAATCCAGTCAGCATGAACCGGGTCTCATTAGTATCTTTTATCGTTAGACGACTGAAAATGGGCAAAACTGCCTGGACCGGCGCCGCTTGGTGCCAGAAGAACAGCCACCGCCACTGGTGAGAATGCGAGAGGTGGGTGGCTCAGGCATGGCTTCTTTGAAGATGTTGCTGCTACCACTGCCGCTGGCCCTGGTTTGAGTAGGAAAAGAGATTTGATCGCGTACTCTTCGTCTGGTTTCAACGACAGCCGGAATGGTGTTGATGTTTTGGCCGCTGGGGCCACTGGCGAGTGTGTGCAGCGAAGAATGCGTATGGGTCCCCCATGGGTCAACAAGGTAAGGCACCGCGCCGGGAGAGAGCGCCGTGCCGAAGGGGCCGTATGCCATTGCATCGAGGGGTTCAGGTACGTTGGCGTGGCCGTGAGCTCGGAGGTGGGTGCTGTTGGGGAGCACTTGTGCCAAGCAATGAGTTGGCTGCAGGTCTCGCAGGTTGAAAAGATGCTGCCATGCTGAACGTCCCGGGATTATCTTCCGGGGTATACGAGTACGAAGGAACTATGCTAGTCCACCCACCAGGGAAACCTTGGGTATCGGTCATAATGGTAGTCAGACAAATGTGAGGTTGAGGTGCTCTGGTTTCGAAAAGCTGCCAGATAGATGAGGTTAAATACTTCCGAAACTCCCGTGGGCTGTGGGATTTAAAGCGATGAGATGGCCATGTGTTACGGCGATTGCTTTGGTGCCGGCCCCTGACAGGCACACCAGAAGAGCCGCCTTGTTTGCCGCTTACAGGACCATACAGCAAGCCATGTTCACAGTGAACCTTTCCTCGCTGTGTGTTGAGCTGGGGGGTGGATGTACATGTACGAAGCAACTTTACGGGGTTTCACGAATGGGGAATCGATACGAGGACTGGGAAGAGGTAACAGGGTACCTAGTAGTCACACTCCAGGAGCCAAATGACTTCACAGCCAGTCCCAGTGGTGTTCTGGCCAGTTTCACAACATTAGCCAGGCTATTCGGGCTCGGGGAGAGGACACCGCCACCGATCTTTATTGGCCCTGCGTTTGGTCACTGGTTCTGAACTACGACTCGGGGCTGCCGATTTGATTTGCCCCGTCACTGGGGTGATTGGCCGCTATTAAGCAACTCTCCCGTCCAGGCCGTTGTCTTATCAAGACCTGGGGTCTTCATCAACGGCCTGACAGTGACAGAATGCCTCATATTGCATTGCTGATAACTGCATGATCCTGTATATTTATCCCAGCTCTGATTACACATCGACGGAGGGGGGAGTAGAGTCGTAGAGAGAGAGTACTATCAAGGATGACTCACAGTTGAATTCTTTGCCTTGGTTCCTCTCTTGGCTCTGTATTCTATCCACGGATTCCATTGGCTCGGTTACAGCGATACTGAGCCCGCCTGCATGCATGAGCCTTGAAGGATCCCTAACAACAGAGGCATCTAATTAGTTCATCCTGCGCGATTTGCGTGCAATATGTATGGATGTACTAGGTAACTGTTGGCACGATATAAACTTTGACTTGTCTCATATTTCCAGCAAAGTAGCATATTTTAGGGTAGGGTCTGTATTGCGGCTGTGGGAAATGAAGAAACTGCGCCCTCCTGGATGATACCTTGCGTAACGAATAGTCTCGGTGTTTACATCGCACCCTTCTTGGTAGCATCCGAGGTAGTTCTGCCAGGATCGATCATGGCGATATTTCTCAATGAGGATGGGCGATAACGCTAGACCCACGGCATGTGAATGAGGCTGACAGCTAGATAGTTTCTATATGCGGTCTGCCTTGAGTAGAAAGGATTATGTGTGTTCAAATACTGTTGAACAGCCCGCAAGTAGCTCGGAACTCTAAACGTACCGTATATGGGCTTCCTACGAACTGCTTTCTAGTATGTTATATACTTACTGGTCCTCGGCTGTATCCAACAATTTCTATATGAAGCCTCTCGGCAAATACTGACCGTGGCAGGAGTGCCAGAGGGGTGTCCGGGTCAATGAGGTTGTTGGTTCATACAAGGCGGAAACAGGCACAAGGAAGGAAATATATCTCAAATGCCTCTACCCAGTAGTCCATGGAATCAGCCCATAGAATCCCCGAACCACCATTAGAAGACATGCCTAAGCATCTGCTTGATGTTCTACCACCGCTTTAATTAATCTAAATGTGCATAGCTAGTCATAATGGAGGTGAAGGGCAAAGTGTGCTTCAAGCCCCGCAGGCTAGACATAGAGGATTATCAGTGATGTTTGTGATATAGACTTAACAGAGCAGAGACTACCATAACAAGTAGCCCGGCTAGCTCAATCGGCAGAGCGTGAGACTCTTAATCTCAAGGTTGCGGGTTCAACCCCCGCGTTGGGCTTTCCTTTTTATACTGTTGTGTATTCCAATGCCCGGTTTATCTCTCCTTAATGGAATTTTTTTCAGTGTTGCACAAACTTTCTTGAGTCTCCACTGCCCCGCTACCCAGACTAGTAGGCGGTGGCAAAAAAAATCAGATGCGAATCACCGGAGCAGGTACGTAGTCAGCATCAATGTTCGGCCTGAAATCACAGTCAGATCTTCATTTTTATCACCTCTCCCGCGCACAATCTCACTATACAAATTAGGCCTTACGCCTTTTATGCCAGGTTTGATTAGATAGTACTACCAACTGTGAAGTCTTCTTACTCATCTCATCAATGAGCCAAACCTTTTGCGCATGCCTTGTCGGTTATACATCCTCTACATTGACCATTTTTTACAGCCGAGAGTATGGAGTCTGGCCCAAGTAGTTGTCTTCTGATCTAGACGGTATGTGTATCTTGCACGATAAACGACTTCAAAGATCACCGCCGTCTTCTAAATCTTTGTCACCATCGATATAGTCATTACAGCAGCGGGAACAAGTACATACGACCACAGGGTGTGGAAAACAGGGCTTCCCGTCCGCTCAGCCGTACTTAAGCCACACGCCGGGAGGTTAGTAGTTGGGTGGGTGACCACCAGCGAATCCCTTCTGTTGTATGTTTTTGCTTAGCATTTTTGTTTCTCCCCCGGCTCAGTTACTAGACAGCTTTGCATGGCGCTGTCTTGACAACTCCAATATTTGCACTGGGAAACGGTAGGAGGAGATGTGTTTTGCAACAATTCCTGATCTTGTTGTGCAAGATATCATAGACTTCGTCTGCCAGAACCTTATTGCTCGAGGACGTGGTTTGGTGGCTTGCTGAACCGACTGATCTCTCACTGATAACCTGTCCAAAACCCCTGTGGAATGATCATATCCATTGAAGACCATCGATGCTCTGAGAAATCATTGAATCATCATATCTGCCAGGAAGCCACTTGCACTTTCTTATATAAATGCCATGTCATCAGGACTGTCGCTATCACCCCCTCTCTCTTCTCCAATCCCAAGCCCTGACCCTAAATCACAATGTTCTTCCCCGTAAGCCTGATTTCTCTTCTTGTAATTGACACCCACGCATACAAGATCCCCGAAAATCTCATCCAAATCTAGCACGACCACAGGACAGGATGTAAGAATGTCGTTGCCTCTGGCTTCAACGACGGCACCAGTGCCTCAAAACCCACCCAATACTGCGGCGACATCGCCGGGGCGTTGTTCATCAGCTCCGCCGGCGGATACGGAGACATGGACGTGGACTGCGACGGGGTCTCTCCGACCTCGGGAGGCTGTCGCAACGACCCTTCGAAGCAGGGCCAAACTGCCTTCCACGATCAATTCCGACAGTACGATATCGGCGACCTGAACGCATTTGTCCACCCCTATGTCGTCTTCGGAAACACGAACTTCGACCCGCAGCAGTATGGCATGCAGCAGCTGAGCGTGATGGCCGTTGTTTGCGGTGGACAATTGGTAAACCTGTGCCCCCCCTTGCAAGATCCTCTTTTCACAGACAACTGGTTGGATAGCTTGACTAACCTGAGTGCATGGCGCTAGCACTACGGCATATGGGGCGATACGAACGGAGGCAGCAAGACCGGGGAAGCATCGCTCGCGATGGCGAGGCTGTGCTTCGGGTCATCGATGGACGCCAATAATGGACATAACGAGGCAGATATTCTGTATATCGGCTTCGCGGGGGTCAACGCTGTACCTGGGAAAAGTGCGGCGTGGACGACCACGACCCCGGAAGACTTTGAGCGAAATATCAAGCCAATTGGGGACCGGTTGGTTGCTGGCCTGAAGTGAGAATTACTTGTGAGGCTGTGTCACAGACTTGGTGGACAAGGGAGATACTGGCGTGATTCGATTGAAGGCTAACGAACCTTACGTCCCTTGGGCACAAATTATTATAACTATTATGATCAGCCAAAGCATGTATTATCCAGTATCTCCAATTTTATCGCCTTCTACAGAATGCAAACATTTCACTCCACCGCATAGCTAATCTTCGAAATCCCCTTACTCCTCGAAATCTTGCGCACCTTCGTGGGCCCACACAGATCCGTTGTCTCGACATGCGTCCCGCCACACGGGTAGACCTCCGCGCCGACAATATGCACGACGCGAAACTTCTCCCCAGCAGGAACTCCCAGCGCCTCCCGATCGGGGATCAGCCTCTCCAGCCCCTGCACCCGAAAGTCCTCCTCATCCCACCACTCCACCTGCACCGGCAGCTTGGCCGCCAGAAACTCATCCACCTTGCCCTGGATGGGCTCCTTCCACTTCCCGTCAATTAGGCCCCGGAACTCGCAGTTGGCCAGGTCGGGAAAATGCGAGGCCTTCAATTCGTCGAAGTCCGCAACCTCGTTCTCGAGGAGATGGCGCACCGCGGAGCCGAGCACGTGGCCCGCAGTGTGCAGGCGCGAGTACAGGAGCCGCTTCTCGGTGTCGATCGCCTGCTGGATCGAGTCTCCGGCTTTGAAAATTGCGTCCGTGCCGGCGGCGGCTGCCTCGAACCGGCCGAGGTGGAGGACCTGGCCATCGCGGGGGGCTTGGCCCATCCGCACGGCTGTGACGGTGAATTTGGTGGCGGTGGCGGTGTGACTCAGGGTTCCCACGTCGGAGGGCTGGCCGCCTCCTTGCGGATGAAAGATGGTTTGCTCTGTGATGACAATGTGGTCTTCATCGTTGCCTTGCTTGAAGAGGAGGCGGTTGGATTCCTCGAGGGCAGAGAAGGGCAGCACGGCTGTTACGGTGGTGTCAAGCGTGTGGAGTTTCGCGTCATGCTGGTAGGCAAGGAATGTTCGCGGGGCGTTAGAACCCATTGTGAGGTTTCGTGCTGTAGTGAGTGGAGGGGGACAACGCAGAGAAGCAAAAGCTGTTCTTAGCATTGAGGTTCTTGGAAATGCGCAGATGTGTCAGTTCTTATCTGGGTTGAGTTGCGGCGATCGGGAATAGGAGATAGATCGGAAATACCCCAGCATCGGGAATATCCCCGCTGCCAAGACGGATCATCCGAAGGGCGCGAAGATGACATGCATTTCTATGCATGGCTTATAACGACTATAATATATAGGTTCTCTGAGTCAATCTACTTGATTCTAACCGTACTGAAACTCTGTCAGCTAATTAATCTAGACTCTTAACGTCATTTATTGTGCATAACTTACTAAGGCTCATAAACTATGGATCCTCAAAGCTTGAACTCCTACCTGTCTCTGTAGCGAGTAAGCTTCTTCCGCATTTGTCCTGTATTCGACATCGTGCCCAACGTCCACCATATATATTGTGCGTGGATAACTTTTCCGGCAGATTGAGATTGCTTAAAAGTGCCTGCAATGAGTTTTTGTTTGCTTTTCTGTTCATGTTGCTTTAGGAATAATTTGGCAGCTGTTGGGGGCGGCTCGCTCGGTGTGTCAGGACAGATCACGTGGTATACACCGATATATCTTAGTGTTAGGTTTGATCGAACACCTCAAATTTCAGATGGCGAAAAAGCCCTCAGGCATTAGCACATTAGATGTCATACAGATGCCTGAACAGAAAAACACTACCGAATCAACCCGAGCAAGGGAAAAAAAAAGAAAAAGAAAAAGAAAGACGAAATACAAACACCAAGGAGCTGTCCGATCGCCCATCTGTGAACAGACAAATGTCAAAAAAATCCTCACATTGTTTCTGAACGTTGAGATCGATCCATGCAGCGGTTGTCACAGGGCTCAGTGCTGGCAGGACATTCATATTCCATTGCCGTCGCTGTCTGTGGTCAACGTCGCGCTTCCTCTGGTGCATCGATCGCAATCCACAGCCTGTCCACTCTTGAGCTGGACCAAACGACCGTTGAAGTTCGTGTTAGATTCCCTCCCTTGAGGACAACATTGGCCACAAGCTTATTGGAGTCCTGTTTTCACGAGGTTGACGAATGCCAGATGTCTGGGATTTAATATCATCGATGATATTAGCGTCGCAATCGCGGTTGGTTCATGCTAGAGACGCCTTCTAAGCTGGCGCCTGAGGTGAGGGTAGCTGAGAGGGCTAGTGAGGCTAAAAAGGATAGCTATAACCTTGTAGAGGTGTGGCTCTGCAGGTGACGCTTCGTGGTCAACGAATGGACAATAGCGCAGCTGTAGGCGACACTACCCGAGTATCATGTCGCATGCAGGCGGTGTGGGTTGAGATCGTATCCCTATCTGCATCATAGTATGGCCACAACCCATGTCGCCACAGATGTCTGGCACCTCCGGGTTAAAGATCACATAACGCCAGGAAAGGTGTGGCTTAGATTTGAAGAGTCAAAACCCGAAGAGGTCAACTATGTTCGTGATGAGTCGATGCCCAGATCCACCCTAACGGTTCCATAATTCGGATCATAGCTTGTAGATTATATAAGCACTAATCCAGGTGAATGGTCCTTAGGTCAAGATATAGGAAAAGTACGGCGTCAATAATGTCTTTGTTTTGATTCTTACCGCCATGAGTGCTTGCTGGCACGATTCACTGTGTTCTGGTGTTGTCGCTACTGGTTAGCGAACCTTAAGTCTCAGGCGGTTGACTAGGCTCATTAATCAGCCTATCTCTTCCCGAGCTAGCTCGATCAAGTCTCTGACTGCAAAGCTCATGAATAGCATTATCGAGTGGTTCCATGGAACGTTTCGAATTCTTCATGACTCCGTATACAGGTGGGGGCTCCGCTGGGACGGGTGCATCAATTTTGCACTCTTTCCATGGTTAAGGTTTCGGGAAGGGCAAAACAAAAAAGAAAAAATCTTCTTCCTACGTACTCCAACTGAAAAGCATTGTTCAGCACAGTTGAAGAATAGTCTCCGCTGCTTCATTACTAATTTGTCTCATTTGTTTTGATAGGGAGACAATCTAGCTTCATAGATCATACCTAGCATTGACCGTTGAGATATCAAAGGTCGAACCCAGCCCACTGTGCCCAAAGTTGCTGAGCTGTTATAAGTATAGGATGCAGTAGTAGATTCCAACCATACACATCCTTCAGACTTTTCATGGCTATAGACCATTCAAAAGCTGTAGGCTGTTTGCGATGGCCACTGGTGATGTGTCTACATCTTCACTTTTCAATGGGGCTACTGGCCTAGGGAAACGCAGCTTTTGATCCCTTTCTTTTTTGACAAGGACGCCTGATATAGATAGAGGAGAATTATGCGACTGTCAATTATGTCACTGTGTATGCTTGTTATTAAAGTCACATGAGATGGCTCCAATTCATTCGATATGGAAACCACCTCTAGATATGAGTAAGCCTAGCCCAATTACCTGAGGCATCGCCATATTGGCTGTAAAAGTCTCTCAGGCTCCTACTGTGAATGAAATTTGGGCTGTGGACCATAGCTTTGGTCAGTACGTCGGATTCCTCTTGACTGTCGCGCTGTGCCCCGAAACGGGTTGCACTGAACGTAAATCTTCCACTTACCATGCAAAACTCAAGTCAAGAACCACAAAATTTTCATTCATATAATGCTTGACAGGACATAGATAAGTCATTATTCAAAGGAAAATGCATATTACTTTTCTCACTACGGTATTAACAACAATCCGATCATTCGCAGGAAAGAGAAAGATAGGGCACGTATCTTACCGTCATATATTCACAATACCCTCCCTGTACGTCATCCAAGCAGCTCTCACTCTACCAACCAAGCACCAGCGTATCGTCCTGTCATCCCTGTCATCAATGCCCAGCATTACTTCGGCGGGAATGTCCGAAATATGAAACCAAGCCCGAAGTGCCACCGGGCTGGTCGGACAGGAAAAAAAAATACTGGATACGTACCGAGTAACCCTCTCCTATTTTACTCTTCTTGTGCCCTAAACTTACGTGACCACTGACCATAGATGCTGTGCTGGCACCCGAACAGAAGAAAAAAAAAACCTAGACGGGTGAGGCTTGGGTGAGAAATGGTGCCCCGCCGACCCGGTATGTGGGTCCGCTGAGGTTCGGTCAGTCTCCGACATCGAAGATCGGGACTCAGAACCAGGCTTTGCATGCCGGAATGAAGAAGAGGGCTGTTCGTTTTCGTTCGATATCGGGAAATCACGGCATGCCGAGTAGGGTGGTCTCGGAAAGGGGGCTACGGTTTCGCCCGATCTCACGAGAATTGACTTGCCCTGTGTGTAGACTGGGAAGAGGATTTCGCTAATAATAATAAGGGAATTCTCCCTAGGGGGGGACAAGAAGGGGGCTGTTTGGCAGGATTTTTACACATTTGTCTGTCGGTGATGAAATTATACCGAAAAGAGCATCAAATTCGCCATGTTGATGGTGTTTATGGTGATGATGTTGTTGATGATGCTGAGGCGAGTACAGGGGTCCACCGGTGAGGCGTGAGGCTTGGTTGGGAGGAAGGGGGGGGGGAGTCAGGGCAGAGTTTTGCTCTGACTCTCCTGGGAGTGGCAATGGTCCATGGGTTACAGCCGGTGAGTTGAAATTGCCTAAGGCTGGGCATCTCCCACCACATTCGGCCAGCATAGGTTTGAATAGGGGTCGAGTATCATTAATGCCAAGTCTTGATGGAATGACTGTATATTGGTTCAACTATGGCTATATACTGATTGAGAAACTTGAACAATATAGACGAAGATAGACTCGAAGGACAAAGAAATAAACGACGACAGCGGACAAACACACCATAAAACACGGGCGCTCAACATGTATATGCATATATAAATCGCTTCAAATGATAACAACCGAGAACACACAGAGTTTTGGGACTTCATGCATCGTGGCCGACGAGGGAGATAGATCATTCGAACAACTCGGACACATCCTCGTCCCGACCTGGCCACATAATCCTCTTCAAGAGAACAGCCCTAATGGTGCTCACGAAGACGAAGATGAACATGCAGATCACGCAGAGGGACATGCCCACGCCCACCCATTTCAACGCGGCACTGTCCAGTGACTTGGCCAGGGTGATGGTGGCGAGAGTGAGTCCGGTGTTAGGGAAGACCATAGCCCACCAGTTGAGGTGGAAATCATGGGGAGGCGCCCGCACAACTGAGCCCAGAGCGACACAGAAGAACCAGATGCTCAGAGCCCAGAGGAACATGCCCGCGCAGACGGCCAATACTCGCATGATGTGACGGTCGTCCATGCCACCATCGCCCAGGATACTGAAGCCCTCGGGAAGGCCGTTGGCCATGCCGATAATAGCCAGCAGCGTGAAGGCAGGGGGACCGACACAGATGAACATACCAGGACGGTGCTCGCTCGAAGGGATGCCCGTCTCCATCAGACGCCCGATGTAGTGGGCGTACATCATGAAGCTAATGCAGAACCCGAGTCCCTGGAACGTGATGCCGGCAACAATCATAGGCGTGGCAGACACCGCAGGCTGGTAGCTGGAAGCGGCAGAGGCAATGGTTCCGCTCAGCATGATAGGGAATGCCGGTAAGATCCATGATGGCATCATAGTTTGCAGGGGGAACGTGTGATAGGAGAAGACAAAGGAGTACTGGATCACTGCCGAGGCAAACGTGAAGATACAGTACGCCCAGAAGAGACCCTCGAGAGCATAATTGAGGCGGTGCGTGTCTTCAGTAGAGAAGTAGGCAGATAGACCACTAATCATGGTGGCGATGGAGAGCCAGAAGGTTGGAAAGAAGAAACCTTCTCGGTCGTGGCGGAGAGAGTCCATCAGGTTGTTGTAAAGAACAAACCTGGTGATCATAAGAGAGCCGATGATAGTAAAGAAGACGAGATTGGCTATGTATACCACCAGGCCTATCTCCTTCAACCCCTTGAATTGATACGGCTGGTTGCGGAGAAGAAGGGCCAGTCCACCTGCGCTCATGGTTAGGGTATACCAGGCCCAGGTGAAATGACGCAGCCGTTGGCGGATGCCCAGCTTGACGAACTCCTGATGTTCATTATTGCTGATAATGGGAGATTCCTGAGGCTGGGAGACTTTGGTCTCGGGGTTGACGGACTTCTCGCAGGCGTGGTTCAAGGTTTCCACGTCCGAGATGTATGGACTAGATCCAGTGCTGTGGTCGTGCATTGTGGTAATTGTTTAGGTCTCCCCAACAGGTGAAAAGGTAAGAAAGAGATTTTAGGCAGCAGGGGATAACTACCACCGATAGTGGTTGAGAGACAGCGACGGGGGACGTTGCAGAGAAGGGGAAAATCTCAAACAGGCTTTCCAGAATGCAGAGCTGGTATGGCTACGTTGAAAGGAGCGAGACGGCCTTTTATTCAGAGCGAGTAATGGGGCCACAAACGTACCGTAAAAATTATGTAAGTAAGCCCCAAGGAGGGGCCCACAGGACAACAACAACACCGCGGAGAGGAACTGCCGGTACGTGTGACTGGGGTGGTATGAACATAAATTTTATGGCATATAGGATGTTCATAATAAAGACAACGTGATTAGAGGAGAAAGAAAATCAAATCATGAAAAGAGATCTACCAAAAGCACCTGCCCAACCTAGTCTTTAGTCCTAACAACACTCTGCATATGTGCGTAGACAGAAGTTACCTATATTGAGAGACACCCCATGGGCCGCTACGATGGCCGTTCTGACCTCCATGGGCTAGAACAATCATGTACCAGAGCTGATCTGTAAAGGAGATCATCGATTTCTGGAGATTCATTCGACACCGCGGGGTGCGCTAGACCTGCCCCCCGAATCCCACAAATCGAAAGAAAAGAAGACAAAGAGAAGCGTGGCGGTATCCCCTGACGTACTCAGGCGTTACTAGGGGTATCTAACACTCCCTAAGACATATGTACTCAGTATAAGGGATCCTTGTGCTGAGTGTGCATCAATGTGATATCAACCGAGGATCAACCGAGATGCTTCATGATAATCGCTGGCTTCGGCCAGTAAGAGGAAGATGGTAACCCTGGCTGATACTCTATTTCCAAAGAATATGAAAATCAAGGTGGTCTAAATATTGAATTATCAGACCTGTAGAGACTTGTAAAGCCAGTGGACTTATGATTCTCTACCAAGGAGAGGGGAGGAGCAGATGTCGGGTTGCCGTACGGGTATTCGGAAGCCAAGTACGGTACCTTACCGAGTCTATGGTACCTGTTGCAATGCCAAGTGACTCTTGTTCCAACTCCAAGCTTCGGTCAGGGACTCAAGGCCCACTGTGGCGGGACGGCTTTAAAAATCGCCCGGCCAATCGGACCGGAGACAAAGCATCCTGAATCAGAGTCACCACATGGGCCACGGCACATTCAGAATTAAAGAGAGCTTATGTGCGGTGGAATGGACTGGTTAAGGTAGTAGCAGATTAGATCAAGTCTGCTGCCAAATTTGTGGTGATTCCATTCGATGTCGGTTTGTAGAGGGGTACTGTTTCTCGGCCGAGATATCCAGCTGCCCAGACAAAAGAGAGTGGGTGGTGAAGGAACGTGGTGTTTTGGGAGATTGTCATTCGAGAACGCCAGAAAAAGGCAAAAACATACAACAGAAGGGATTCGCTGGTGGTCACCCACCCAACTACTAACCTCCCGGCGTGTGGCTTAAGTACGGCTGAGCGGACGGGAAGCCCTGTTTTCCACACCCTGTGGTCGTATGTGCCAGTTGAATGACAGCTTCCATCTATATTTCAAAAATTCCAATTTCCCACGTCCAACAAGCAATAGTTCGTACAAAGCATTATTCCACGGGCTAGTTTTGACCTCTTATGCGTAATATCTTAGACCAGATTCCCATACCAGGATTGATGTGTTTGCGATCACTTAGATCTTCTTTCCTCCTATCCCTGCAATGGCCGGTCGCATCGAGGCTCAGGGAAGTACTGGCGATATATGTTTCCGGGAGTGGTGGGATGACGCCCATGTAGACTGAACCTACCGTACAATAGATTTGTCTCCAGCTACTGCAAGCCCCGACCTGAGACCGGTCCACAGATGATCGACAATGCATCACTCAGATGCACTCTGATCTATGTATCCACGAGGAGATTTCACTGTGCGAAATATAGCATTAGGCTTATCATGATACCTTAAGCTAGCTTCTGCCGCTGGGCAAGGTGTTGAGGGCGAGGCTATAAAACGAGCGAAATGAAATCCTAGGATCTGCAGATGCAGTTCGAAATATTATTGTACATATTTCAACAAAAATCACATTTGCGTTCGACCACTTTTCCTCACTGATAGAATTAGAAAAATAGGAACTTGGAGGGGCGGCTGGCCGCATTAGTATGAACAGATTGAGCCACTGGCGTAGTAGTAGTAGTAGTAGTAGTAGTAGCTGATGGGATGGCAGCAGACGAGGAGGCCACCGTCGCTGAGCTTGATGTCACGACACCAGAATCGGCGGACGAAAGAGAAGAAGAAGAGAAGGAGGCGGAGGAAACAGAAGAGGATGTCACTGCCGTTGAGGTCACCGTCGCGGTGTTCGACTCCAGACTAGGATTCGAATAGTCCTCCTCCAACTCCCAGACCGAATAAGTGCCGTCGCCACCACCTAAGCGACAAGTGTCAGTCGGCGGTCAGTCGGTTCCATCAACGCGGTGTTGGAGTTCACACATACACTTGTCCTCGGGATAGCCTGGACAATCCGTATCACACGAACCACCCATACTACCAAAGGCGGGGGGCTGACTGCCACACCAGCAGTCTTCGCCTTGCAAGGCAAAGAAATAACCCTTCTCTTTCTCGCACAAGTCCTGGCACAAGCCGGGAGATTGGTATGGCGACGAGCCTAGTTTAGTCATGTCCCCAGAACTCTTCATGCAGGCGTATGTACCCCATTCAAGGGCTTGAGCCGAAACAAGGAAGAGTGCTAGAGCACCCAGCGCGTTTGAAGACGTCGAGATCATTATGAATATGGGCTATTGTCAATGGTAGGTTAGAAGACACAAAACAAAGTGGGAAGAATGACAAAATCGGGGAAGACTAAGATAAATAGGGTGGAGGTGCAGCTCCAGGAAAAGGCAGTCATTGCAGGACCCTGTGGGATTCAAATTGGCTGCATTTTGGCTGCGGCCTTTGGGGGCCGCATATCCATTGGGCCAATTGAACGAACACAAGGGTCTTGCCTCAGATGAAAGGTACCCCTGATCTGAGACAGGCATGGTTCCCATTGGCTGATTTCAGATTCGAGTAATCTCGGCTTTTCGAAACCGGGTTAGGGTATTTCCTAGAATAGGATTGTGGATGAGGCTATTCCCAGTGGGGGGTTCCGCTTGTCGGGATCACCCGAATTTTATGCCTGAGGCAGCCTTAGCTGGCTAATCGCGGGCCCGCGGCTGACTTTTTCCCTACAATCGAAGTTAGATCAAATAAACAAATTCACGCCTCTTACGTAGTATCAATGTTAGCATCTCCTAATCCTCGCTCTCTACATATGGTCAGAAGATTATTACATCTTTGGAACAGTTGTCTCCACCTGTATCAATACCGAAGGAAGATCTCCCTGAACTGCCTACTCGCGGTCTACGTTCCTCACAACATCAACGGAGAGATTGATCAAGTAACAACATTCAAATCGCGCAAAGTGTAATTGCATCTTCCTTAAGCATCCTGGAGAAAGAGTAGCTTGAAGCGAGGGCTCGCCCCCGAGGTAGAATTGGCATGAACAGCACTCGCCAGCGGTGTGCTGCTGGTCCAAGGTACGACAGAGGCAGAACTGGAACTGGTAGGACCAGATGACTTCGAGGGCATAGCCAAATTATCAGCAGTAGCTGTGCTCTGAAGTGTGCCTACTGCAGTCGAAGCTGTAGCCATAGTCGAAGCGCTTTCCCCGCTAGAGATGCTCGGATGGTCGCCCGGCATTTCCCCAACCGAGTAGACACCATCACCGCCACCTACGTCTCGTTAGTCGACTAGAGACAGATTGCGATGGTGCAAAGGGTCATGAGACTCACACTTGTCGAACGGGTAACCCGGACACTGAATCGTACAGGCTCGGTTGTCTGTTTTAGTTTCAAATGGCGGTGGCTGCTTGCCACACCAGCAGGCTTTTCCTTGGGTGGCGTAGTAGTACGCGTTGACTTGGTTGCACATATTCATGCAAATCCCGGTAGACTGGTATACGGATGTGCCAACCATTTCCATGTCACCGGTGCTGGTGTAGCAGTCGGGCCTAGCGGTCTGAGCCGAGCTGAGCGGAAGTGCTAGGGCTGCCAGCACGGCAAAGAATGTAGGCTTCATGGTGTGGCACAATGTCATAGGGTGATCCGAACCTTGAAGATAAGACCGACTTCCGATAACCACAGAAAGAGAGGGAAAGGAAGGACGATGTTGGCTGAAAAGATGAGAGTTGTGATGTCGTGTTGACAATCGTAGATCAGTCCGCAGAACAGACACTTAGTCGAGGTCAGGCAGCGACTTTGACCAATTCAAAGGGATTTGCCCCCACTCGTTCGCATTCAATGCAGGCCTATGCCTATGGAGATACAGTCAGCCCCTATCCTAGAGAGTTACGGTTATCGACCGGTTAGGCTAGGGTCGGGTGTGTCGGCAAACTGTAAAGGGTTTAGTCTGGAACCGATGAAGCCACATGCGTTCGTTTGATGCCCCAGGCAGCAGTGACCCGTTTGGAACTGGCTCAAATGATTGAAAGGCGATGCGCTATGATTTGGGTGGGCTACGAGTGCACAAACCGAATGACTGATGTTACCCCAGAGTTGACTAAAGTCTTGAGTTCTGGTGTGAGACAGGAGTCGGGGTTCTTGAAAAGAAAATCTCAACTACCTCGGTTGTTCACGATCATGGAAGTTAGTATTTAGAGCTTGCTTAGAGCAATGGAGTATATATTAGGGCAGTTTCGGCTCGAGCCCTGAAAGCACGAGGTGATTTATGAATACAAATCAGCTAATTCGAGTATAAGACATGTTTGTGCTTCTGCCATGTTCTTTGGTAAGAGATTGCGAAAGGAAACCTAAATTATCTCAAGACTGGTGATAGTTTTCCAACATCGATGTGTCCGTGTTGATCACCTGCTCAACCCTTCACGTTATATTGGTAAGATGACGCATCACGATCTAAGACAATACTAGAAACCTCAGTGCGATCATCTCATGCATTAAGCCCCCAAGGGAAGAGTAGGATGCCATGAGCTTCTTCTCATCATTATGAACGGCGGTCTTTGTCGAGTTCGGCGATTTTTCTCCTCCGCTGGATGAAGTCATCGAGATGTAAGGGGGCAGAAAACTCTATTGCTGAGATACCAGAGCCACAAATTGGTGTGACACCCACTTGTCCTTGGACTTGAAAGTCAACCCAGGTGAGTATCTTGAAGAGAACAAGTTTTTCCAAGTGCGGATAGTATGCATACATGGTAGACCGACTGTGAGTTGTATTACCTGTGTAGTCTGCCAAGAGAGCCGCAGCATTCCATCACATTGGCAGTAATTTCCCAGATGGGTCGTCTTTGCGTCGGAAAAAGTGCTGAATATAAGCCCCTGACTGTCCCTGTCTACCATGACACGGATAGAAACCAACTGCGAATTTCTGCTCTTGACGTTTTTAACCTCACTACTCAAGGCCATTCCGTCCGCTCATTACAATCACCATGGCTTACAGCGATACTAAGCACGTTGCCATTATCGGCTGTGGCACAATAGGCCGCCAGGTTGCTCTAGTCTACGTTCAACACAACCGCACAGTGACTTTGTATGATACAAACGAAGACGTTGCGCAGGATGCTCTGCACTGGATTGAGTCACAGCTCGATCAAAAAGCGGACCAGCCCAATCATGTGAAGATCACCCGAGACCTAAAAGACGCCGTCGAGAATGCGTGGATGGTAATCGAGTGCATTGCCGAGGACATCGATGCCAAGAAGCAGTTGTTGAACACCTTGAGCTCTCTCTGCGCCTCGAACACAATCATCACGACAAATTCATCCTCGATTCGCAGCAGTGTCCTGGTCGAAGGCATCACAGCTGCGAGCCAACGTCGCATTCTGAACGCTCATTACTTCCCCCCAGCGCAGGGGCCTTTCGTCGAACTCATGTCATGCGGACAAACAAGCCCTGCTGTTATCGAATCTCTGACGCAGGAGCTCCGCGAGATCGGGCGCCGTCCGGTGGTCTGCCAAGCCGACTCGACGGGGTTCATCATGAACCGTATCTGGGCGGCGGTCAAGCGTGAGATCATGATGGTGCTTGCGGATGGCGCGGGAAGCCCGACGGATATCGATGCGATGCTCAAGCAGGCCATGCAGGCCAAGTATGGGCCCTGCGAGCTCATGGATCTTGTGGGCTTGCAGACAGTGTGCGACATTGAGGAGATTTATCTAAAGGAACGAACGTACCTCCCGTCTTACGCACTGGCATTCTTCCGAGAGAACTATGTGGAGTCAGGCACTGGTAGGTTGCTGCCCCCGCCACGGGTTGAAGACGAGAAGCAGGTGAGTCACAGTCGACTTCGGGATCGGTTGTTGGGAGCCTGGGAGTTGGTGGAGTGCACATCGGTGTCCAGTTCCCAGTCAGGCTCCCAGCACAAGGATCATCCTTTTGGCAAGGAGATATCGGGCCACTTGATCTACAGCGAGGCGGGTTATGTCTCCGCGCAGCTACGAATCCCCGGCCAAGCTGAGTTCAAGTCGGTTGACTACTGGACTGCCACGCCCGAGGAGCATTCTCAGGCGGCCCGACGGTATTTCGCATACTCCGGTCAATTCTACGCGGATGACGATGGCGAGAAACCAACCGTTCAGCATCACTTTACACATTGTATCTACCCCAACATGATTGGACAACTGGAAAAACGGGTTGTACATTTTGAAGCGGACAATGGTTGTGAAATATTGAGGCTCATCCCGGAGGAGCCAACGATCACCCCGGAGGGCAGGGAGATCATTCCCGTGTTGACTTGGAGGCGATTATCGGCGAATAAATGATGCATACCGAGAACAGGTGAACCATTCTGATGTATCTAGAATGAGGCAAAGTATGTCATGCCAAGCATGATGAATCTGTAAGAATGGCCTCATCGCGTAGCCAAGATCACTCAGTGCGTGTACATTTATGAATGGCTGTTTAAGGAGAGAAAATTCTCAGCAGAGAGCCGACCTGGCTAGCCACAAAGTAGCATTGAGGATCTGCGTTTACACGATTCTGGGCTATGACACGAGTTTCGGCATACTTGGAACTTCTGCATGATGCAAATTGTACATACACTGCTGGTCTTGTGATGTGTACATTAACGAAAAAGGCAGGCACGAACTTCTAGCTTCTCGTCTGACTATCATGCTTTACTAATATTTCTGTGAATATGTGGACCAGAATGAATAATGATGCGTCACCGTTGGAGGTTCTACATAACGGGCGAATGCCCTACCCTTTCCGAGATGACAAGTCTAGCCACCTTGAATTGTGCCTTGCACATCAGACATAATTCAAACACACAATACCATCCTACGATTATTCACCATGCCGAAGAAGATCATGTCAATGTCCGCGCCCGAAGAGATTATCGAGAACTTCGAAAAGAAGGTTTTCTGGTATTTCCAGCTCATGGGACATCAAAAGCTCAAGGAGGTATGTCCTTGTATCTTTGTGGCGCAGTGAAGAGGGACTCTGCTAACTCCTATCTCTCATGAGAACTGGGATGTCAATGCGGAGGATTGCTATCTTCGAATCGAGTCTGCAGTTGAACGACCCGATACCTCTGTGACCTACCGATTTGTGGTGACAAAATCAATGTGCGGCCCCCAAATGCATCTCCATGGAGGATGCGCTGCTACTCTTGTCGATAATTTCACGAACGTGCTTCTTATCGCTGCGGCCACGCCGGGTCGATTCTCGGACTCCGGCGTCAGTCGCAATATGCGCATGACCTTCCTGCATCCTCTTCCGCTGGGTGCTGAGGTCCGGGCAATTTGCCGCATGGTTAATCTGGGAAAGCGTATGGCGTTGACAAGGGCTGATTTCTACGATGTCGAACCCGGGGAGCTCTGTGTCATAGGCGTGCACGAAAAGGTCAATATGGACCGCGAAGAAGTAGGCAAGTTGTAGAGGCTTGATCGGTCCTAAAGAGCGCGTTAGTCACATGCTTACAGACAATGAGATAATTCTACACAAAGGCATGGATTCCAAAATCGGTGTGCCAGGTAGAGGGAGTTTGTAATTCAGAGCATGGGAGTGACGAACATCTTGCCCTATCCGGTCCCTTGCATGAGTCCTACATGTCATGTGAAGGCTGACCTTGTTGTGTTATAGTGCTGGGTTCATATGACATCTTGACAAGTTCAAGATGTGGGCTCTTGGTTTAGACTGCCCTGAATATGAAGCCTCCTAGCGGTCAATCTTTTGAATACGTCTGCAAACCCGATCGCCGTTTCATAAAACTTGATGAATGCATTTCACTGTGTAGGAAATTCATGATATGGTGGGTAAGGAATTCCCTGTTATCTGAAAACTCTAATAAGACAGAAATCATGAATAGTGGAATGTACCAGATACTAATACTTTGCAATTCCAAATGTGATTGTATAGGCAAGAGAAAGTAATACAAAACAAGAAAATGTTCACCAAAAATAAGCATGGCGTAGGCGGCGGTCCCCCGCGGTTCCGGGACGGGTACGAGCCCGGGCCCTTTCAGGGCTCACATCTTACCCCTATGGAGATCTCTAGCATAAGAAGCGCAACAATAAGAAAGGGGAGAAGGAATAGATAAAAAAAGAAGAAAGAAGAACAGAATGAAAGAAAATAGGGGTATCGCTGGCTATGTTAATACCTCCTTCCCTGGTAGTCCATTTGCATTGTCTAATGGAAATTTATGATACACCTGATTAACAACGCCAAATCACCACAATATACAGAAACAATGTTCATATGTAGTCAAATGATTAAGCATACAATTTCATGTACCGGTTTACACCGACGAATAAACAAAGTTCGAATCCTACCTAAAAGAGAATCTTGCTAGCATGATCTTAAGTGATTACACACCAATTTATAATCCAGGCTCGGGAATGAGTCAGGCCCGCCAGTAGCAACATGAATTCCTTGTTAAGATAAATTCGATGAACAGCCACTCCTTCACCAAAAGGGAATATAGGGCAAGGTGCTCTGGAAGCTAAGCACTGTCCCAGTCACAAAAAGCAGAGAGCGAAGATTGTTTCTCAAGAATAGTAAGCATTCCCCCTAAGCAGCTTGACACGTTGGACTTCTGGAAATCAATCTGTGCGACGGGTTAAGGTAGATAATGACCGAGAAATGACTTGAAGGCTTGTGGGATTCTTTATGTTCGATAGAAAAGTGAACGGAGACAGTTTAAGAACTAGCAGTGGCGTCAAAATGATAAATACAACAACGATAACAAAGAAGAAGTCCAGCTACGTCTTTCTCTTCAAGTTGATGTTCGCAGCCGTGGGAGAGACAGCCGAAGCTTCCCCGTCACCGTCGACGGTGAAAACAAACGTGCCCAGACCACGAGTTCCATAGTAAATAGTGTCAGTACTCCAAAAGTCCAGGTTGGTGTTATATTGACCCGTAAATGGACCGATCACGCCGAGATCTGCCGCATTGGAAGCGAAATAGCTGTAAGTCTGCGGGAACCTGGAAACCTGAAAGGCTACCTCTCCGGCCACGCCACGGGGAGTGGACTTCGGGATGCTCAGCAGAAGCCGAGGCTTGTAACCGCTCCGATAGGGCGAGGCCAGCACGTCGGTGTTGTTCGATATCCACTGAGTAAGTCTCAGACCATGGAAGTAGCTCGAAGAATCGACAGAATCGTCAGTCGCGATAGTGACGGAGGAATTGAGACTGGGATCCTCTGAGACGTATGTCCCTACGAGATTCTGAGCTGCCTCGAGAGCGGCCTGGGCCTCTAAAGCTGGAAGCACAGACAGAGTAATATAATCCAGGATCACGTTGGTCAGAGCACTGCGTTGGTCGCTCGTAGAGGCTGCGAGGATGCTGAAACCGGCGTCATAGTCTGGGATCAGAGCGACAATGCCGCCATAGTAGCCCGAGTCTCCCAGCTTGGTATAGATGTCTGTCACCCTACCCGTGGTGGGACTCACAACACGAACGATCTCCCATGGGGCGCCGATGGAGGCGGTCAGACTTGCTGTGTGCGTTTGAGGTTTCATCCATTTACGCGTGGTAGTTTCGGGGAGTAGCGTGTGGTTGAGGATCGAAACACCGAATGTGGCGAGGTCGTTGGTTGAGGAGTAGATTCCTCCGGACGGGGTCGTAAAAGGGATCTCCAGATAGAATCCCGCTGCTGCGGGACCCGCGACAACAGCCCGGGCCTGGGTCACATTGCTCATCGGCGGAGACGAGAAGGTTGAGCTTAGGTTGAGCGACTCAAATATTTCTGTCTGATAGATGTCTGATATCGACTTTCCTGTGATATTGGAGATCATGAGCGCCAGCATCTCAAAGTTTGCGTCGGAGTACATGGGAGTCCACCAAGGCTTGAACGTCGGTGGCCGTGATCCCATAGCATCGATGACATTCGTGCCGTCACACAACTCGAGTGCCTCTTCAAGTGAGCCATAACATGGTCCCAGGCTGCTCGTGTTTTCTGGCGGAAGTCCGTAGGCTATGATAGGGCTTACGGTGCTCTGCCCCGTTACGTATTGCCACAATAGATCCATGAGCGGGCCCCCTTGCGTAGGAATACCCGAACTTTGGGAAGCTAGTGCCCACGGCGTGATTTCATCCCAATTGATGTTCCAAGCCGGGGCGTCGATGGCTTCTGCCGCATGTTTGGCGAAACCGGGATAGATTTTGGAGAGGGGAAGATTCCACTGATCCTCAGCTAGAGAGAGCATGCCGGCATAAGTGGTGAAAAGCTTGCTGACGCTGGCGATGCGGAAAATGCTATCTCCATCCACTTTCCTGGTTCCATTGGTGGATTCTGCGATTTCCGGACTGGTCCAATGATATTGGAGTTTCTTCGCTTCCGGATCATGGACTGAGAACAACCCAGCTGAAAATGTGATGTTCTCAATTCCTAAAAGGGTAGTCGATTCGTTCTTGGAAGGGTGTTTCAAATAGTCGTCAATGGTAGTGGTGAGATTCTCCCAGGCAGCCCTAACATGGCTATGGGAGCTAGAAAGGTCAACCGGTGCTGGGTATATGGGACCCAGGCGGTCAGCAGTGGCAACGAGTGCCAAAGATGAAAACAAAATGATAGATTGTGATGAATGCCGCATTGTGGAAGCTAATCCCGAATTAGAGCCAGGGTTGGGACCTCCTCACAGAAGCCTGTGTCGTGTTGAGCACTTATAGACATTTCGTATTATAAGCAGACGTTTGCCAAGCATGGGGCACGGCATGACGGGCTGTGCAAAGCTGCCCTTGAGGTAGCCTTGCATCTGGGCTTATGGCGCTCAGAATCCGCCACACAGCCATCCGAACGCTGGGCGGCTTGGCCCACCAGATCTGCATCGGGAATCACTGAAACCGGATCAGGAATTAACGATGTAGCCAGTCGGCAACTTCAATGGCGTAAGACAAAGTACCCACTTTGCCAAGCACGATCCGTCATCCGCTGCGCTGGCAAGGCTGGGTTGAAAATGATAATGGCTATGGTGCCTGCACACCAACATGGCTTCGAAGACGTCAACTGTGTCGCATCCTTGACAATAAGTAATAAGTAAATTAGCTGAGTGAGCCCACCGCCTTAGGCCTCCAGCCAAGTCGGTCAGCTGATCCCGCTGTGGCTGTTTCAGCTTAACGAAGTGAGTTGGTTGTCTCATCCTGTGAATTCAAACTGATTCACAGTCTATCCAACCGAGTCTTGTGAAGATTGCGAGCGGAGCCGACCTCGATGTGATTAAGGTCAGCATCATCTGATAGTCTAGTCATAATACCAACAATCTACAGACAGCCTTATTGAATGGATAGTCCCCGCCTAACCTTAGCTTACAAGCCTTCATGATCTAAAACCCCAACCTGCTGAGTCTCTTCTCTCGAGCCATTCATTCTGTAGGTGCTTGCTGATATAGCAGGTCTCACAGAAGTATCCCGACTTACCGCCAAAATACTCTTACTGCAGATCTCCTTCAGACGAACTGTGAGGCTTTGGACTAGGGCTGAACAGTTGATATCAAACAAAAGACTCTTCTTGGTTGAGAGAGGTGGCAGACTGATACCGAATTTGAGCATTCTTTCCCTTCCTCCTCCTGTTTGGGCTTTAGAATTGCTGAATACAGTGCTGTTGTCCAAAAGACTCGATGTGTGTTGAATCAACGTGTAGAAAGAAAGAACGATATTATTCCTATTTTCCTATTCCCGCGGTCGGAAAATTGCACAAGTAAATGCGACAGCATGTTTCTTATAAAGATGAAGCAGACCGTGAGTTACCATCTCGTAGCACTCGAGAATCGCGTGTCGGTGTCGTGCATGTGTAAAGTCTGAAGGCTCAAATTGCTTCCAACGAGAAGGAACTTCTGCTGTATATATATATTTTTTTTGGATTAGGTCACTCGACAACAAACAGATGAATCTTGGTTGACGAGAATTAAAACTTATTAGCATAGTTACACACAGACAACTCAGCAGGCATTAGCTTTGCAGTCTCAACCCTTGTCCCCCGCTATATACCCGGGATGGCTTAGTTAATACACAGCCTTCTCATCTATTCCAACAAACTAAGTCATCCTAAAAACACTAAATACATACATTATACATACTATGTCATCACAAATCCCACGTGTTTCTCGAAGAGTATTCTGGAAGCGATGCAGGGTACTAGTCCACAGCCGCTGTGCAGTGGCTGGCTGGCCGCCTTTGTTTTGGCCCCGTGCCAATCTAGGGGAAAGATACACGTTGCTGTAACTGGGTAATTTATGAAAGAGAATGAAAGAATTCAAACTTGCCCAAGCACTTGCGAATGACATACGGTGGGTATTTGTTCTTCCATACATCCGCGGGTGGGAGTAATTGCACACCCATTCCCGTCCCCTTTTATTTCGAAGGGCAATTCTTCCGCATCGCTAGACAGCAAGTCTTTGAAACCTTACTCGACACATTACTTTGCATCAATGCCCACTGAGCTA